AATAAATAACCGAAAGCACAGGATATGGTGAGTGCTATGAGATGAAAAACGAACTGGGGATGGGGGAAGGGGTCTCAGCAGAGACTGCAAGAAGTGTCATGGGGAGGGGACCTGAAGGAGGTGAGGGAGGAACCATGGGGACTATCTGGAGACATTATAGGCAGAGACAATGGCAAGTGCAAAGGTCCTGAGGGAGAAGCCTAAGACTGTGGTTACCAGTTGTTCGAGTTCTCTTCTGCTGCACCCCAAAACTAAGCCGCTTAAAACATGAAACACTAGGCCAGGCTCGGCGACTCAGCCTGTAATCCCAGCATTTTAGGAGGCCGAGGCGAGTGGATTACCTGAGCCCACGGGTTCAAGACCAGCCTGGAAACTGGGCGAGACCTCATCTCTACAATTTAAAAAAAAAACTGGACGGTCGTGGTAGCGTGCGCCTGTAGTTCCGGCTACTTGGAAGGCTAAGGCGGAAGAGTCACGGCCGGGGTGGCCGGGAGCATGCCACTACACTCCAGCCTGGGCGAGGGAGTGAGACGGCAACTAAAAAAGAAAAAGCGGCTCACTGGACGCAGCCCACATTTTTCACATTCAGGAGGGGAAGGGAGACCCTGCCCTCGCTCCCCTCCTGTCCTCCCCTCTCCCGCTGGAGCCTCTCATCGGCTGAGCTCAGAAGGCGAGGAGGATGCGGCAGCCGACCCACCCATGTTCTCGGCCTCTTTCGGGGCACAGGACAGGGGTGGGGGAGAAGGGTGAAAGTGGATTGGGAAGGACAGACAGAAGCTGTGACCAGAGGACTGGATTGTGGCATTTTCAGATGAGCAGAAACACACATCTTCCGGGAGGCCACCAGGGCGCGCTGCCTCCCCGCCGGGCTTTCTGCTGACTGTGACCACCACCTCGGCCGGGCGGAGGCGGCTTGTGTGGGCAGGGGGCTGAGCGGGACTGCGTTTGATCCTTTATTTTTATTTTTTTCTAAAAAGGCGTGGAAATGGAGAAAATGAATGTGCCGAGTCATAAGAAGGGCAGCCTCTGACATTTTAGAATCATGGGGTCAAAGATGAAGCCCATTAGACCCATCATTCATTCATTGGTCGGTCCTGCAGCATGTGTTTCGTCTGGGGCAGGCTTGGCCTCCGAGGATGAGAAGCCAGTTCCAGGCCGGATGTGGTAGCTCAGGCCGGTCATCCCAGCACTTTGGGAGGCTGAGGCAGGAGGATAACTTAAGCCTAGGAGTTTGAGACCAGCCTGGGCAACAGAATGAGATCCCATCTCTACCACCCTCTCTTCCCCAAACAATGAGTCAGGCGTGATGGTGCACGCCTGTAGTCCCAGCTACTTGGGAGCCTGAGGTGGGAGGATCACTTGAGGCCAGGAGAGTTAGAGACTACAGAGAGCTATGATGGTGCTACCATACTCCAGCCTGGGTGTCAGAGCTAGACCTCGACTCTTAAAAAAAAAAAAAACAAAAAACAGCCGGGCTCGGTGGCTCAGCCTGTAATCCCGCGCCTTTGGGAGGCTGAGGCGAGTGGATTGCCTGAGCCCGTGGGTTCGAGACCTGCCTGGGCAGCGAGACCTCATCTTTACAATAAATCAAAAAATCAGCCGGGCGTGGTAGTACGCGCCTGTAATTCTGGCTACCTGGAAGGCTGAGGCGGAAGGATCGCCGGAGCCCAGCAGGTCAAGGCTGCGGTGGCCGGGAGTGGCCACTGCACTCCAGTCTGGGCGGCAGAGTGAGACTCCAACTCAAAAAAAAAAAAAAAAAGGACACTGCTGATGGCCCCTCTGGAGCTCAGGTTCTTAATAAGCAAGAGAAACAGGAAGCAGAGAGTATCACAAGTCATCATTTGATTATATTTGTGATATATACCAAAAAAGTAATTTAGGATCCACAGGAAAGAATACCACATAGGAACCTGACATGGGCAGAGTGGTCAGGGAGGGCTTACTAGAGGCGCTGCCCCTTGAGGTGAAATCATAACACTTTCTTAAACCCTTGCCAAGTGCTTTTAACTATGTATCTCTTTTGATCCTCATGGCAACCCTATGAAGGGGAAATTTTTTCTTTTTGAGACATGATCTTGCTATGTTGCCCAGGTTGGTCTTGAACTCCTGGGCTCAAGTGATCCTCCAGCCTCAGCCTCACAAGCAGCTGGGAGTATAAGCATGCGCCACCACCACCCGAGTGTAATAGTATTACAGATGGGAAAACAGGTTCAAAACTCACTCCAAGTCCCTCTGAAGGGTGAATGGCAGTGACCTAGGTAAAGAGGCACAGGGGAGAGGAAACAGCACATGCAAAGGTCCTGAGGTGGAAGAGGCTTGGTCCATTGCAGGAAGCAAAAGGCAAGTGGGGGGAGGAGCGAAGACCCTGCCCTCGCTCCCCTCCTGTCCTCCCCTCTCCTGCCGGTGAAGCTTATGTTATGAGTGGGCCAGCCAAAAGCAGCAGATCTTAAGCTGGGTGACCGTGTGTTGAGTTGTGAAGGAAATGGAGACCAGTGGAACCTGTGTGTGCTTTTCACAATCCAGTCAGTTCCCCCCACAGCTGAATCAGATGATAAATTCATTAGGAATACACAGAGATGGGGAAGGCGTGGGGGAACAAGAAACCTCCCAAACCATTGAAGAGAGCACCCATGGGTGATGACAGGGCAACATAGCAATATGAACCTTGAAGCATGCTGGGTTAATTGTGTCTCTCATTTTCCTCTTCCTCCTCCTCCTTATTTTTTTGGTCAAGGTTTCACTCTGCTGCCCGCCAGGCTGGAGTGTAGTGGCACAATCATGGGTCACTGCGGTGTTGACCTCCTGGGCTCAGGCTATCCTCCTGCCTCAGCCTCCCAAATAGCTGGGACTACAGGCACATGCCACCATACCTGGCTAAATTTTTTTGTGTGTAGAGACCCGGTCTTGCTAAGTTGCCCAAGCTGGTCTTGAACTCCTGGGTTCAAGCAATCCTCCCACCTGGGCCTCCCAAAGTGCTAGGATTACAGATGTGAACCACCACGCTTGGCCCGCACCTGACTTTTAAAAGTCCCAGGAATGCTTAAAACACATGCCTCTCCCTGACCTAAGAGTCCCACTCTCAAAACGACTTGCCCATGAGCACAAAGCTAGATGTATGAGGAACATACCAATGTGACTTTGCTGCTAAAACTGAGAACTGTTCCTCTAAGGAGACTGAGAAAGCAAATTAGGAATGCCCATGCAATGGGATATTATCAGACAGTTCTTCAAAGGGGCGAGGTAGGATTTTTTCTTCTCCTTTTTTAGAGACAAGTTCTCAGTCTGTTGCCCAGGCTGGAGTGCAGTAGTGCAATCAGAGTTCACTGCAGCCTCAAACTCTTAGGCCCAATTGATCTTCTTGCCTCAGTCTCCTGAGTAGCTGGGACTGTAGGCATGAACCATCATCTCCAGCTAATTAAAAAATTTTCTTTTATAGAAATGGGGTCTCACTATGCTGCCCAGGTTGGAGTGCAGTGGCATGATCATAGTTCAATGCAGCCTTGAACTCCTGGGCTCAAGTGATCCTCTTACCTCAGCCTCCTGAGTAGCTGGAATTATATATATGAAGTAGATGCTTGTATGTATGTATACACATAAATGTCTGGCAACATAACTAAACCACGTGTATGCATGTGGATGTCCATACCACCTTTATTTATCTTATCACATATTTCTCTCACAGTTGAATTTCTTCTACAATAGGTATCCATCACCTTTGTAATCAGAAAAAGATCCAATAAGATAAATCAAATGTTTACATTATTTTTAGATTTTTTTTTTTTTTTGGTAGAGATGGGGTAGAGTGAGTGGGCCTTGAACTCCAGGCCTCAAGTGATCCTCCAGCCTTGGTCTCCCAAAGTGTTGGGATTACAGTCACGAGTCACCACGCCTGGCTAATTATTATTTAAAAAAAATAATAATATGCACAAAACCCTGGAAATATCTCTTTGACAATGATGACTAAGAGGCGAGCAGTAATTTGGTATTTTGCCATTTGTGCAGTTCTCAGGAAATTGAAATGACCTTTATAGCACAGAAGTCTATTGTTCGAGTTTTGTGAAATCACTTCATACCTTTTTCCAGGAAAACATTATGTGCAAAAGTCGGTCACCTGTTTGGGGGGGCTCTATGCAAATGGATGAGGTGAGGGGAGAAATTGCAAAGTTTCAAATAAATACCCAGCATGTTCTGGGGGGCTCAGTGGGCAACAGCCTCTCCACGGTGTGCCCTGAGACTTAGAATCTTCTGGCTCAGGCATCATTGTTCCTTACAGATGAAGACACAGAGTCTCTGACTGGCCAGATGCAGGAGCTCACCCCTGTCATCTCAGCATTTTGGAAGGCTGAGGCAGGCGTGCTTGAGCCCAGGAATTTGAGACCATCCTGGGCCACATAGTGAGACCCCACCTCTATCTAAGAACAGAAAATTAGGCCGGGCGCGATGACTCTAGCCTGTAATCCCGGCACTTTGGGAGGCCGAGGTGAGGGGATTGCCTGAGCAAATGGGTTTCAGACCAGCCTGGGCAACTTGGCGAGACCTCGTCTCTACAATAAATCAAAAATTAGCCGGGCATGGTAGCGCACGACTGTAGTTCTGGCTACTTGGAAGGCTGAGGCGGAAGGATCGCCGGAGCCCAGCTGGTTGACGCTGGGGTGGCCATGAGTGTGCCACTGCACTCCAGCCTGGATGATGGAGTGAGACTCCAACTCAAAAAAAAAAAAACAACAACAACAACAACAAAAAACCCAAAACAAAACAGAAAATTGAAAACAACAATAAAGGAAAAAGAACTAGAGAGAGGGAGAGGAGATGGGTCCACCATGTCGGGGCAAGTTGGACAGGTCCTCCATTAAAGCTGAAGGAACAAATGTGCAGAGTGTGGATGTGGCATTCTGGGCTCTTTATTTGGGGTAAAGACCAGTGGCCTAGATTTGCTTGGAGATCCACCCTCCCGGCCCCCTCCCCACCCCAGTTCCTGGGAGTAGCAGCGGCTGCAGGCCTCAGGACTTGCAACCATGGGTGCTCATATATTCTGAAAATTCCTCCAGTCGGTCCAGCAGGTCCTTCTGGGTTGCATCTCCGTTCGCTGGCCAGAGCATGAGGAATGTCTCCTTGCCCAGGACGTAGGTGTAACTATGTCCAAGAGGCAGCAGAAGGGTAAGGAGAGCCTGATGTCCCTTGGGGCTTGGGACCTCCCTTGGTCCCTCTACCCTGCCTTAGCCTGGAGTGTCCACTCCAAAGGGTTTCTTTGACCTCTAGCCTCTAGTCCTTATCAATGGGCTTTAGAAAACGACCCCCCCCCAACTCCCTACTGCACCCCTGGTGGAAAATGGAGGCAATGGACACCCACATCATTTCCTTGTGAATGGCGTTCTCCAGAGTTGCGCAGTGCACAGCCTGTACCTCCATTTGGGGTGGCCCTGAAATCTCTGCGACTTCTTGCCTATCGGTCCAGCAGAGACTGTGCAACCCAGGGTTGGGCTGGGATAGGGAAAGGGGCCCAGGACTCAGTCCCCAGGGTGGCAGGAGCCCCACACGCACTCAGATCTGACTTTCCATAGGTCTGACGTCCGGCCCATGATGAGGAAAGACGCCTGTTCTTGCAACCCCAGGGAGTCCTGGCAGGTGGCGTGGCAGATGAATTTCTTGCTGGTGAGGGGTGTGGCAGGGTCTGTGCCTGGAGAAGACCCAGGGTATGAGTGTGTATGGCCTGGCCCTCCCACACACGGGGACTCCCAGGGCAGATTCCCACACCCCCTCCTCTGTCACTCTGGCATACCACTTTTTTTTTAGTTGGGGGTCTCACTCTGTCGCCCAGGCTGGAGTGCAGTGGCACAATCATGCCTCACCGCAGCCTCGACCTCCTGGGCTCAGGCAATCCTTCCACCTCAGCCTCCCAAGTAGCTGGGACTACGGGCATGAGCCACCACGCCAGACTAATTTTTTGATTTTTTCTTTTCTTTTTTTTGTAGAGATGAGGTCTCACCAAGTTGCCCAGGCTGGTCTGGAATTCCTGGGCTCAGGTAATCCTCCCACCTTGGCCTCCCAAAGTGCTGGGATGACAGGTGCGAGCCACCATGCCCGTCTTGGACATACCACTCTTGATGATGGCTTGGAGCAGCATGGTGTAGTAGAGGTAAGGGCTGGAGTCAGAGACCGCCACGGATTCCAGCCTGGCCTTGTACACTGGGCAAGGGAAGTGCAGAGGACGTGGTGTTGGCATCTGCTGCAGGCGGGCTCCACCTGGCTCCCTGCGGCTTCCCACACTCACCAAAGTCCACACCCGTCTCACAGGCTGCTGCCTGGAGCTCCTCCTGCCTCAGCCGGTCGCCGTCCTTCCTCAGGGAGGGGCACTGTTCTGCAGGGCCAGGCACGCCACTGCTCTGGCTGTGCTGGGGAAGGGGGCTTCCTTCTCCCTCCTCCTACCGGCCCTCCCACCTGTCCCCAGGCTGTGGCCTTTATGGTCTGTAGGGCTCTCTCCCTTTCTGTCTCTCTTTTCTTTTTTCTTTTTTGAGATAGGGCCTCTGTCCCCCAGGCTGGAGTGCAGTGGCGTGATCATTGCTCCCTGCAGCCTCGACCTCCTGGGCTCAAGCGATCCTCCTGCCTCAGCCTCCTGAGTAGCTGGGACTACAGGTGTGCACCACCACGCCTGGCTAAATTTTAATTAAAAAAAATTTTTTTAGAAACGAGGTCTTGCTATGTTGTCCAGACTGGTCTTGAACTCTTAGCTTCAAGTGATCCTCCTGCCTTGGCCTCCCAAAGCGCTGGGATTACAGGTGTGAGTTCTGTGCCCGGCCTCGGTCTCTTTTTCTGTTGGTTTTCTTGTCTCTTTGTGTCTCTCTCCGTCTCACTTGATCTTTGGCAGTGCTGACCGTGTGTGCCAGTTTTGTCTCCCTGCGTCTCCCTTTCTGTCTAAACCCCGCCCAGATGGCACTCAGGGGGAGGTGTGAAGGGCTCCTGGACGTCCTGCCTGGCAGCCCAACCCAGCGCGGGGCTCACCCTCGGCACATCTGCAGACGTCTTTGTGGCAGATCTTTCGCAGGGAAGATCGCTCTGAGGGCAGGTTGTAGAAAGCGCTGCACCTCCGCGCTGTGGGGGGCAGTGCCTGGGGTTGGCCTGGGCCAGCGCTCCCCGGGTTCGGTGCCCGCCTGGCCCCGCCCCCCGCAGTCTCCGCCCCCTCCAGGCCCTGTCTCTGTCCCTTCCCTGGGAGGCCTGGGTCCAGGTTCCCTCTCGGCCCTGCCCGTCTCTGGGCCGCCCCTCTCGGGTCCTCCTGGACCTCCCGCTCTTGCCGGCCCCGCCCCGCCAGCCTCAGCCTGCCTGGCCCTGCCCACACGCCGCCGCCGTCGGGCCCGCCCGCTGGAGGCCTCGCCCCTCTCCTC